GGAGAAGGCGGGGGCCCCGTTGGTGTGGGCGCCGGCGGCGAGCGGCGGCCGGTTACGCGGCGTGAGGTGCTGCAGGTAGAGCTGCACGTACACGTCCTTGCGCTGCTCCCCGGCCGGGAGCGTCACATTGTTGGCGACCAACTCACTCTTCAACTTGTCTTTCGTCAGGACCGAGGGGTCTTCCAGGAACTCCGGCATCTCCGGGGTCTGCGAATCCCCTCACCTCAACGCAGCCTTCACAGTCGCCGCTCACGCCGGCGCGCTCGCTCCTGGCCCGGGGCCGCGCCGCCCGAGCTCACGGCTGCCGCCCCGGAGGAGCGCCGCGCCGCCGAGCACGGACTCGCAGGCACAAAGCGAAGCCCGAGGAGGACACAAAAGCCCCGGGAGCACAACTACCGACCAAGTGCGGCCAAGCCAGGAGCCCGCACAACCCCAGCCCACACACTACAGGCAACGGGAGAGCAGCCTGCTTCGCCCACGCCCCAAGAAGGCGCTTCGCCATTGGCGGGGGGGGGGGGGGAGCGGCTGATTGGTCAAGAGGCTCGCGCGGGTTCCATTAGCCGCGGCGGCGAGCGAGGTTGTGGAAACGCAGTTTAAAAGCCGCTCGGGCGGGAGCCGCGGCGGCTGGAGGGGGGTTGTTTCCCTTTTCTCCACCCTTTTCCCATAAAACGCTGATAAGGTACAGGTCGTACTGCTTTTGTGCGCTGTTTCCTCCTCCTCCCTTTGCTTGAGGAGACGTTTTCCTCTCTGGGGTCGGTCCCCGGACAAACAGGCCGAACTCAACGCCAGCTGTGAGGACCCCTTGGCCCGGCCTTTCTCCCTCCCGGACGCTTATTCCATGAAATAACCGCAGCCTTGTCCTCCCCCAAACACTGGCCCACAGGGGAAGGACCGCACCTTGGCTTGGCTGTCCGCACTCTGCACTCCTGCTTTTGATTGATTTGCGGGGCGGGAAGGGGGAGCGAGGCATCTCAATCCCAGATCCTCGGCTCGCTGAAGCTCCTTTTGTTCCTGAAACTCGGAAAAAGCCAGACCTCTACTACTGGGCACTTTAAAATACATTTTAAATTTGTGACAAAATTTGTTGTTAAATATTCTCTCCGCCTCATATGAAAGGTTAGAGTATTTCCAGATTAATTTCATTTAATTAGTCGGGGCTCAAAACAAATCCGTGCATGCGTTTTTGTTGACAGTCTTTGGGTTAGACCTACCCCCACACATCCCTCCCCCGTCCATCCCTTAAGTATTTTACCATAACTTAAACCTAATATTTGATAACGAAATGTAACAGAACAAGTTAAGAACGCCGTGATGATCAATTTAAAGTAACAGAGGGTGCATGCTAGATTTTAATCTTAGAGGAAACCTAGTGACCTATATAATTAGTTCGCGTTCCCTAATCAAATCTGTACTACTGATCCACGTTAAAACCTGGCAGAGTTTCAGCATTTAATACTCTTAAACTGCGTTCCGGAAAACAAATACCATTGATGATAAATATTTGCATATCTTACGAATGTATCTTTTTCAAGATGTGGTCTTGAAAAAGAAAGAAACTGACCTCGGATTTAGGGTATCTTAATCACCCATATTCTGAGTTCTAAATTATACTTCCTACAGTGCTTTCGAATCGTTTTTAAAAAATGTTGACCTGATTTTTACATGGTTGAGGTGGAAAAATTTTAAAACTTTACTAAAAACATTTCTTATGAATTAAGCCTCAATTTTGTTCAAATTGGTGGCACTATTTCTTCTAATAGTGAATTTCCTACAGGCAGTTATATTTAAATTCTGTTATAAAAAATCTCAGTATTACATATACTTGAAGTAGTAGTGTTAAGCTCAAAAATGCAGATTAAAAATCGTGTTTTAGGCCCAGCGCTAGTGGTTCAGGCAGTTGGCTGCTGCTGCATGATACTGGAGCTCTACCTGAGCCTGAGGTTCAGATCCAGGTTGACCATAACAAGTTTGTCTGTGATCCTGGCTGACTGAGACAGAGGGGAGAGATGGCAGCATGGTGAGACTCTTAGGGTCTTTTTCTTTTACACACATGAAAGAAGTAAAAATAAACTATTTCAACCAAGAATACTATACCCAGCAAGATTATCCTTCATATGGGAAGAAATGACAAAAAACATTCTAAGGAAAACAAAATTTGAAAGAATTTACCAATACCAGACCAGCTCTCAAAGAAGCTCTGAAGGGAGTGCTATACCAGGATAACTAAAGACAGACACAAAGAAATAAGAGTACAAAAAACAATCAAGAAAATGGCCAACCTAATGGTAGGGTCAAGTCTGCAAAGATCAATAATAACATTGAATGTTAATTTCCAGAATTTAAATTGAAAGATTGGACCACAGTAACACTGCAAATTCAACAGAAGAGAGATTAATTACATGAGACTGGTGAAATAGAATTTTGTGACTTTCGAATAAAACATTATTCAAAAGAAAACATGATTTTCTTCTATGCTTTGTTTTCCAGATTTAAAGATTTTTATTTTCTCTTGAGCTGTTGATAGGTTCATCTACCTACTGTTTGAACAGAATCACTTCCTTTTTCCTGGCTTTAAGTCTTAAGCAAATTTTTCTTAACTTTTTTCAATTATGATTTATTAAAGCTAAAACTACTTTTCTTGAAATTAAAAATATACATTTAAAAAAAAGAACCTACTTAATGACTCAGTAAGCTATTTAGCCCTAGCTAGGTGCTTCTTTATAGTATGTTCATTCTACTTACTGAGTTTTATGCCTAAAGTCAGACAAGTGCTCATAGATAGGTATATATTAGCTATACTTGCTATTGAAAGTATTTAGATTAATTAAGTTCTTTTGTAAATCAATAAAATGTAAAAAAAAAAAAAAAAAAAAAAAAAGGAAAGCAACTGTAAGTACCAGTGTGGGAGGAGGTCGAAAACGGCAGAGGGTAAGAGGGAAGGAATAAAGAGGGGAGGGAATCAAAATATGTAAGATATATATAAGAAATGGAAAGTTATCTGCTGGTGATAACATGTATGATAATATGATAATATCCTTGATTGAGCCAATGTACAGTATATTCTGGATAGAAAAATCTCATTTGGTATGCTGTAATGATGTACAGTGAATGAATGTAAAGTAAATTTAAAAAGGGGGTTGCTAGAGGGAGGGAATCAAGGGGGGAAGGCAAAATATTTGATGACTAAAAAAATGGAAAATTATCTGTTGATGATAACGTATATGGTAGTATCTGACTGGACCAATATGCAGTGTGTTCATGCTGGGAAAGTTTATTTTGTATGCTATAACAGTGTACAGTAATTAAATGTAAAAAATAAGAAAAAATAATTTAAGAAAATAAAAATAAGCATTAAAAACTTGTACTTTGGGGTCAGCAGGTAGTATAGTGCTTAAGGTGCTGGACTTCCACATGGCCTATGGCATTTGGAGTCCCAAACCTGGCAACTTGAAGATTAGACTAGGCACATGTGCGTGTGTGCCCAAAATCCCAAGGGGAAAATAGAGAAGGGATTGTGGTGTGGCCAGCACCCCCGATAAGTTCTCACTTTCCCTCTCTCTTCCCTCTCTGGTAAGTGCATGTGCCCTATGACAAGACCTTAAAATAAAAATTATATTTTAATTAGCGAATCATTTTGTAGATGTTTACGATGCCTTATAAAAGTTACTAATTTTTTTGCTTCCTCCACCATTTTCCCTGGACACATAAGGTAAGGGATTTTATATTTAGAAGGATAACTATTGGATCATTTTTTTTCTATACAAAAACATGTCATGACTTTTCTGACAACCCAATATTTGAAATAGGTAAATTATTGTTATTAATTATTGTTACTGAGTTGAGGAGTTTGGCTCTAGCGTGACTACGTATATATATATATACACACTCACATATATATATTTATATTTATATATTATTTATATATTTATTTATTTTAAGGTTTTGCCATGGGTTTATGTGCTCACCAGAGAGAGACAGTGAGAGGGAAAGTGAGAAATTACTACTCAGGGGGGTTGGCAATGCTACAAGCCTTTCTCCATTCTCCTCTTGTAGGTCTTGTAGGGATTTGGGACATGCTCGTGCACTTGCCCAGTGTTATTTTTAAGTGACCAGGTCCGAGACTTGAACTGCTGAACTCCCACTTCATGTGGGAGTCTAGCGCCTTAACCACCATGCCATCTGTTGGTCTCTGCACTTTTAACAGTTTTCTTTTCTTTTCTTTTCCTACAGGGCACCTGCACTTGCCAGAGAAACAGAGAGACAGAAAGCAAGAAATCACCTCCTGGGGGTGGTGGCCACACCACAATCCCTCCTGGAATTTTGAGCATACATGCATATGCACCTGTTGTGAGTTTTAAGCCACTGGGACTGGGATTTGAATCGCAGTCTACTGTATGGGAATACAGAGATGTAACCATTACACCATCTGTTGGTTCCTGTTTTGTTTTGTTTTTTAAGAGAGATTTTGGGACCAGCAGGTGGCGTGGTGGCTAAGGCATTGGACACTTCCACATGGCTGACCACTGTTTGAGTCCCAAACCTGGCAGCTTGCTTTCTCACTTTCCCTCTCTCTCTCTGTCTCTGGTCAAATTAAAATAAATGAATGAATAAATAAAATTTTTAAAAAAAGATTTTGCCACAGGGTATGTGCACTGACCAGAAATAGTGGGAAAATGAGAAATCACCCCCCCCCAGGGGATATGGCCATGCCACAATCCGTTCTCCATTCTCATCTTGAGATTTTGGGCATGCATGCATGCACATATGTCAGGTGTATTTCAAACCTGGGAGGCCAGGACTCCAGCTGGTCAGCCATGTGGGAGTTCAGCGCCTTTATCACTATGCTACTTGCTGGCCCAGCACTAATAAGTTTTTAAGAGGTAGATTTTGCTGTTGCAACTGAAAAGGGCTAGATTTAATCCGAGGTATAGTATACAGTAGGGTCTCCAGGTTCTAACAGCTGTGCTATGTATAAGGATGCATGGTCAGCGAGGTTCCTTAAGTGAATCCTCAGAGGATGAAGCATCACAGATGTTTGAAGATAATCTTTTTACCTAAGTATGTGTGAGCAGAGTACATTGTCAGAGTCTCAGAGTCACCTCAGAAAGCTGTGTGAAAAAAGTTGTACTAAAGAGTTCTACTTTTGTTCATAGGCCTTTGTATCAGAGATACTCCAGGTAGTTTAATCTTCAGAGACAATAAGTCATCCAATTTTTTTCCCATAGCAAAAAACAAAAACAAAACCAAAAAATGTTGAGTCTGAAAGTTGTTTTAAATACAGTACTATGCCGGGACCAGCAGTTAGCATAATGGCTATGTCGCTGGACTCCCATGTAGTCGACCATAGTTCAAGTCCCGGACCTGGTGGCTTAAAAAACTCACGCCGGGTGCGTGTGCATGCGTGCCCAAGATCCCAAGAGGAGAATGGAGGAGAAAGGATTGCGGTGTGGCCATCCCCCCTGGGGGGTGATTTCTCGCTTTCTATCTCTCTTGTCTGTCTCTGTCTGGCAA